CATTTAAATGTGACATGCAAGCGCTGAATTACTTAAAAAAAGTTTGAAAAAAGTCTCTTGAGTAAGAGAACACGCTGAAAGTAATAATAATTATGATAATAACCATAAAGCTCAAAGTGTATTCAACATAATAGACATTAGTACCCCGGATAGCCCAATCAAGAATGTCAATAGTCATATGACTTATTCCACCGGGTACCCGTTTTCTAATGGGTGAACAGAGACAATTATTAACAAACCAACTTGCCTAAGACCACGTGGGGCAGGACAGAGGTCCTAGGAACTCTCAGGAGTCCAGCTGCCAAACACAGTCACCCATCCAAGAACTCTCCTTAATTTTTTAGGTGAGTTCCGCTTTAGTTTGTAGTTGGTGCCAATAATAATAATCGGAACTAACCTAGGATTCGAACCTACTCTAATCAAATTTAGGCAAACAAAAACGAAATAAGAACAGGGTCAATTACAACAGAACAAGACGGTTACTGAACCCTATCGTCGACGATAACGCCGCCTGAAAACCAGAGTGTGCTATGTCTTAAGGTGAAAGTTGAGTTTAGAAGTTCAGGGAATGTTTTACTGCCTATTCTATCACCGTGAGATATAGCCTAGAAAATGGTTTTACATGGTTTTATCTCCATAAATTAACACAAATTGTTAGTTCTAGAGTATTCTAAGTGGTTAATGGACTATCAGCAAACTTTTAATCCAGTTTGATCACGTTACATGGAGATGGAACAATCTGGAAGTTAGACATACATTGCCCTTATTTATGATTTATTTAATGTAATTCGTAAGCAATGAAACTAAAAGAAGTTAAAACAACAACAGTAGAACTTGGTACGGGAGAAATAATCATACAATACACGTACAATAAAGACACAGTTGCATTTAGAGATTTAGAACACCCTTGTTCTGAACAATATTACAAATCCATTTTGACGAGTGTTCTATCTCTAAGCGTTTTTCGTTAATTGCCTATATATCTCAAGAGCTTTAACATACTTTGGGTCATATTGATATAACACATATATGTGCACAATTCCAAAGAATTTGATCGAATAGTCATGAAAATATTGTTGTTCTAAACTTCAAGATTACCTTTCAAAGGTAGCGATTATCGTTAAACCTGACTGTTAAATAATGGCGAAGAGATAGACATGTTGTTATTACATATCGATACATGAAGACCGCATAGAGTCTTGTAACAGTGGTTTAAAAGATGACATAAATCAGACAAAGTGCGTGTCACCCGTGACTTGTTTCGGAGCAGCACATGTAACGTTGTATACATCACTGTCACGTGGAAAGGCAACTGTCACGTGGAAAGGCAGCTGTCACGTGGAAAGGCAAGAGACGAGAACTAAACAAGAACACATCTGTGACAGGGTGACAGTGAGTGACAGGTTGATATGAAATATATTACACTTGTTTGTGCATAGACACGGTTACAAATAACGGTTACGGTCGGGCGGTATTGGTTTGGCAAGGGCATCTCGTAATCGAGTTTCCAGAAAGATACCTTGAGTAAAACATTTACTCCTCCTCTCCTCTGTCTCTCTCTCTGTCTGTCTGTCTCTCTGCTCTCTCTCTCTCTCTGTCTGTCTGTCTGTCTGTCTGTCTGTCTCTCTCTCTCTCTCTCTCTCTCTCTCTCTCTCTCTCTCTCTCTCTCTCTCTCCTCTCTCTCTCTCTCTCTGCTTTTTCGTCGGATGAAAATGATAATTTTTTATGACATCATATTCGTGTTTGCAATTTTCTTAATTCATGGCGTAAAATATACTTACTTCGGTCGTCCAACAATTCATCATTCTGGGTTGGGTTAGAATGGAGGGGCTTGGTTATTTAAGAGATAAGATTTGGTTTTTGTCGGCGTTTAATTCATTAGCACATTATTTTCTTCCTTTTTAAATATTTTTTTCAATACATTTCCCTCAGGACATGGAACATTTTAGTTTTCATCCTTAAGACACAATTCTGGATTCCTCATCAAGAAAATTATACACGTGCTGGTTTTCATTTAGTTCATTCAGTTTAATTTATTACATATATATGACCTTCGTATATGTGTAAAATGTCCACATCCATTCCAATAGTTCCTACAAATGTGAAACGCACCGAGATATGAATACTTACTTAATATATGTTGATTTTGGAACAGCGTCAGACCATTTTCATTCTTTGTAACTGTGCGAAGTTTGTAGTTTTACCCTGCGCCTTAAGTATTTAGGCTTCATCACGATGGACTGTCAATAACACGCACTCGACACCTAGCTTTACCGTCCTTTGGGACTGGGGGTGCTTACCGCAAGCAGTAGAGTTTCTGTAACGTTTAGTAGCCCAGGTTCTCGTGAGGTGATACGCTACGCTTTAACAAACTCTAAATTGCTAATATTTACTTTGACGTGACTGTTACCTGGGTCATACACCGTGACTGTAACATTGACTTTTAGAGTATTGTATACTATCGATATTGTAGAAGTACTGAGTTTTTTACAGGAATATGCACGTGACTGTAACTTTGACTTTTAGAGTATTGTATAGTATCGATATTGTAGAAGTACTGAGTTTTTTTACAGGAATATGCACGTGACTGTAACTTTGACTTTTAGAGTATTGTATAGTATCGATATTGTAGAAGTACTGAGTTTTTTTACAGGAAAATGCACGTGACTGTAACTTTGACTTTTAGAGTATTGTATAGTGTCGATATTGTAGAAGTACTGAGTTTTTTTACAGGAAAATGCACGTGACTGTAACTTTGACTTTTAGAGTATTGTATAGTATCGATATTGTAGAAGTACTGAGTTTTTTTACAGGAAAATGCACGTGACTGTAACTTTGACTTTTAGAGTATTGTATAGTATCGATATTGTAGAAGTACTGAATTTTTTTACAGGAAAATGCACGTGACTGTAACTTTGACTTTTAGAGTATTGTATAGTATCGATATTGTAGAAGTACTGAGTTTTTTTACAGGAAAATGCACGTGACTGTAACTTTGACTTTTAGAGTATTGTATAGTATCGATATTGTAGAGTACTGAGTTTTTTTACAGGAAAATGCGTGACTGTAACTTTGACTTTTTAGAGTATTGTATAGTATCGATATTGTAGAGTACTGAGTTTTTTTACAGGAAAATGCACGTGACTGTAACTTTGACTTTAGAGTATTGTATAGTATCGATATTGTAGAAGTACTGAGTTTTTTTACAGGAAAATGCACGTGACTGTAACTTTGACTTTTAGAGTATTGTATAGTATCGATATTGTAGAAGTACTGAGTTTTTTTACAGGAAAATGCACGTGACTGTAACTTTGACTTTTAGAGTATTGTATAGTATCGATATTGTAGAAGTACTGAGTTTTTTTACAGAAATATGCACGTGACTGTAACTTTGACTTTTAGAGTATTGTATAGTATCGATATTGTAGAAATACTGAGTTTTCTTACAGGAATATGCACGTGACTGTAACTTTGACTTTTAGAGTATTGTATAGTATCGATATTGTAGAGTACTGAGTTTTTTTACAGGAAAATGCACGTGAGTGTAACTTTGACTTTTAGAGTATTGTATAGTATCGATATTGTAGAAGTACTGAGTTTTTTTACAGGAATATGCACGTGAGTGTAACTTTGACTTTTAAAGTATTGTATAGTATCGATATTGTAGAGTACTGAAATTCTTTACAGGAAAATGCCCGTCACTGTAACTTTGACTCTTAGAGTATTGTATAGTAACGATATTATAGAAGTACTGAAATTTTTTACAGGAAAATGCACGTGACTGTAACATTGACTTTTAGGGCATTGTATAGTAACGATATTGTAGAAGTACTGAATTTTTTTACAGGAAAATGCACGTGACTGTAACAATGACTTTTAGAGTATTGTATAGTATCGATATTGTAGAGTACTGAATTTTTTTACAGGAAAATGCACGTGACTGTTACTTTGACTTTTAGAGCATTGTATAGTAACGATATTGTAGAAGTACTGAATTTGTTTACAGGAAAATGCACGTGACTGTAACTTTGACTTTTAGAGTATTTTAGAGTATCGATATTGTAGATGCACTGAATACATTAGAGGAAAGTGCACGTGACTGTAACTTTGACTTTTAGAGTATTGTATAGTATCGATATTGTAGAAGTACTGAATTTTTTTACAGGAAAATGCACGTGACTGTAACTTTGACTTTTAGAGTATCGATATTGTAGACGTACTGAATACATTAGAGGAAAGTGCACGTGACTGCAACATTCATTCAGAGTATTGCATAGTGTCGATATTTTTTGAAAATGCATGACTGTACTGTGTAGTAACTATAGTGTAGCAGTAGTCTATTGATGACTTAATAACGAACGGGACCTGAACTTTAATGCCCAGATAAATAGATAATATACGTGACCGTAGACGTGGTGTATAAATTACGGTAAAGTGTACTCGGTTACAGCTATGATATATCTAACATGGATTAGTTGACGATATGAGAGCAGTGACTGTCAGGTAACGGAAGCGTGATCATGACTTTAATTGTTCATAGAAATGAATAACAGAATAGTTACCGAAGCCGTGATATGTAGTTGGTTGGTTTGCTGCTTAACGCCCCTCTCAGCAATATTCCAGGTATATGACGGCGGTCTGTAAATAATAGAGTCTGGACCAGACAATCCAGTGATCAACTTCAACATGAGCATCGATCCACACAACTGGAATCCGATGACATGTGTCAACCAAGTCAGCGAGCCTGACCACCCGATCCCGTTAATCGCCTTTTACGACAAGCATGGGTTGCTGAAGACCAGTTCTAACCCGGATCTTCACGGGTATCGTGATATGAAGATAATGGAACAGTTAAAGCTGTGACTTATATACCAGGGACAAGTATTAGTGCATATGGCTGTCGTGGTAATATATGATATACAGATATACAGCGTACTTTCAAACTGCATTCTCAACTCCATGAGGAGTATGTTTTCAATATTGGTTTCTCCTGCACTCACCTTCCACTCCCTTGTTGTAAAAATACTCAGTTTGGTTAACAGCAATCTCGAAATGTTTCCCCCTGTGCACGGGAGGGGGGTTCCGACAGAATTCCTCGGGAGTTAGAGCCTGGGGCTTAACCCCATGGGCCAGAAACACTAGGACACACAGACCTACAAACATGGTATTCCGCCGCGGCCTAGCTTATGATATACTGACAAACTCTTCCATCCCTGTATATCCCCCACTTAACACATACATGGAAACTTTCAGCCAATCAAAACCATCCTCTCATTTGACACGTGACCCAACATCCGGGCATGGCTTGAGGGAACATAGTGGGACCACAGACAATGTATATATTGACTGTTCGAAATAAGAAGTTAAGACTATCATATGTATATTTACGTCGTCTTGAGACTTACGACACCAATAGATCTTCATCATGGCTCTGCTGACAAAGTGACAGCTTTAAATGGGAATCTATCCAGTATGCTGTCACTTATAATCTACCTGTTACTACACAGGTGTTTTATTGCAGTAAAAAGTATATTTTTTAAAAGATGAATCTATTAGTACGGAGTATGTTTGTATAATATAATCTTGATACCTATTATGTCGGTGATCTATGGGACAGTTCACAATTTATTGCATGGGGGATGATGAAGATTTTAACGGGGGAGGGGGTTTACCCGTTTTGTACACATGCACTGGGGTTGGGTGGGGTTGTCATTGATTTTGTACAAGACATGCAATTCAGGGGGAGGGGTCACTTATTTTGTACATAAAATTAGGGGGGGATTAATATTGTACACGATTCTCCATAAAAATCGTCATCATCTCTCTCTCTCTCTCTCTCTCTCTCTCTCTCTCTCTCTCTCTCTCACACACACACACACACACACACACACACACACACACATCCAGCCATAAATTATGGACGGTTTTCTTCACGAATTTATCGAGATGCAATAGTTACGGTATTGAACCACAAACTAATTTAAGAATTAGTCGTTAGGAATTTGGTATTGAATTTTGCATTTATGAAATTTCTATGATGATTATAGCAAACACCAAATTAGCCAATACTATCTGATAAAGTGGCAGATACCTGAATTTTGGTACTTAGAAACATAACTGAAATTCTTAAAGACCAAGTCTGATATTTTCAATCAGCATCTGAATTCTCTTTTCCACATTCTGTAAGCTTATACGACTTTACAGACGTTTCACAAATGAATACATTATATAACCAGCAAGACAGCTTTATCGTAATATTGTGTTGTTTTCACAAAAACTTTCAAAGAGTATTAATTTGGGTTATATAAGTTACCTGTATAGAAATAAGAGTTCTATTCCGTATAAACGGTTTCAACCTTTAAGAAATATACCAAATTTATTCAGTTAATGTCATAACCCGGACGAGCACACAACCAACATCACCAAGGGTTTGCAGCTGCTGTGACTGATGTCTCACACACACAACTTTAGTTGTGGTGACAGTTTATTTCAGATGCATTTTTTTTATTAAATCGTGCCTTATAAAAATTCATCGTGACGTCCATGTGACCCATTTTGTCTGGAAATCAATGTCAATCAAGGCTTTCTGGTAGACACGTGGAGGACGTTTCCAAATCTGACACATGAAAGCTGTCTCCGATTAAATTCCCTATTTTGACTTGTACCATATATTCCGAGTATTTCAGGGGAACCAAAAAACTGATCTGACATTGCATGTGTTTGTTACACGAAACAATACAAATTTGGCGAACAACTGAGATTATCGTCATTTGACAGACTTTGGGTTGTTGTTTTACGTCCCACTCAGTAATATTCCAGCTGGATGGCTGCGGTCTGTAAATAATCGAGTCTGGGCCCCGTTCCTCAAAGCGATCGTAGCGCTACGACAGTCGTAAGTCTATGTTAAAGTATGGGAGTTACGATCACCTTAGCGCTACGATCGCTTTGAGGAACGGGGCCCTGGACCAGACAATCCAGTGATCAACAACATGGGCATCAATATGCGCAATTGGGAACCGATGACATGTGTCAACCAATCCAGCGAGCCTGGCCACCCGATCCCGTTAGTCGCCTCTTACGACAAGCATGGGTTGCTGAAGAGCAATTTTAATCCGGATGTTCACGGATCATTTAACAAGGGATTCATAAATACATGCACATGATATTGTCGGATTCGTAAAATCGCACTGTTGATAGCTCAGATAACTGTGTTGCTTTATTACCACGTACATTAATAAAGTAACAATTAAAAGCCATTTCAAAATAGTAAAATGAATCAGCCATCAGGTGAAAGTTTACTGAAATTTATAAATCATGTATGCGCAATACTGTGATCACTCCTTTACCATCATAATGCCAATCAATATGGCGTTAAATAAATGCAATGACATTATCTACTATGCCCATTTCTGGTGTCCCCCCGCCGTGATGTTGCTGGAATATTGCTAAAAGCGGCGTAAAACCAAACTCAGTCATTCATTATCTACTATATTGTATTATTTGTGAATGTTGAAGCAATTAAATGTAGAGATTATACTCGTCTCTCATAGATTTTTTCTTGTAAAACAATTTAACAGGAACCAACGAAGGTCGTGACCGTTGATGTATGAGTTGACCCATTAGTTGGTGTCCAAGTAACTTAGTGGGTGTCAGCGAGGTGAAACATGCTCACCTGTGTGTGCCTTATGGGATGGGTAAACGTGTAAACAAACTTCAGAGACGTTACTTGGGGGGTCAGTAATATAATAATTTCCTCTACATCCCTCCATCGATAAACTCAAATCCCACAGCTTTAATTACCTCACAGAAATAGTTACCACAAGATACATCTCCTTATCTCCTTTAAGAGAACATGGTCCAGCTTATGACCCACAACCATCAAGGAAGTGACCCAGTGATTGACCACGTGTCTTTGCTCGGGACATAGTCAAGAGTCAAGTCTTTTATTTCGTAGGAAGGCCTTCGGCCCATATACAAAGATACAAATTATTATTATGATGAATATAGCATAGGAACATTATAAACATGTATAATTTGACATAATGGTGATATACAAATAACCAGCTGCTGCCTTAGCTCAGTGCCCAAACATATATATCCATGCCAATAACGGTTATCATCCCTTCAATTTTATTAATAGGCTGGGGGGTGACAACCATTATTAGCAAGGTATAGATTTACAAAGAGTATTTAATGATTCAGTTGATGTAGACGATTAAATTTATCGATAGACGGATTGTCGTTGTACAGTTGTGGTGAATAACAGTTTATTAGATTATTATTACATTCACATACACGTATAAAATGAAATTCATTTTCTATCTTTTTATTACATATGGGACAAATACGTTGACTAAAATACAAACTGCGTAATGCATGGTTCTGAGTGTAGAATATACAGCAGTTATCATCCACAACTTTAATCGGTGGTATCGCATGGATGTAAACCAGCATGATGTCATCGTTTACCATGACGTCACAATCAAATGCCACATCTCATTAATCTCTCTACCCATGAAGCTGTCTAGCTGTTCATTTTCCGCTCAAGGTTATTACAAGTTAACAAACAGAAAGAAAGATTTTTTGTTACAGTTGATTATACACATGGCAGACAACAATACATATACTTTTGTATAAACACATCCATATGCAATCATAGTTTATCTTCCCCCACCCCACACACACCCAGAACAACAGAACAAAGCTATTCGTCTTCCACATAATATGACATCTAACGTCTAAGCCCTCCCCAGCATCTGTTACTAGTTGACATGAGAATGTTATCTCTACATGATATAAATGTAGCAAGTCGTCATCAAGCATTACCGACCCATCAATTACCGACCCATGTGACCTTGGAATGACGTTGTTGATGACGGCGCTGATGGATTGTCAAGGTTTGGCATAAGGTAAATACTTCCGACTTGACACAGTGACTCACCCGAGGGTAATTTTACAGTAAAGTCACCAACACACGTCAGTAAAAGTTTTAATCTGTTATAGTGAGTGAGTGTGGTTTTACGCCGCATTTAACAGTATTTCAGCAATATCAGGTTGGGGACACCAGAAATGGGCTTCACACATTGTACCCATGTGGGGAATCGAACCCGGGTCTTCGGCCTGACGAGCAAACACTTGAACCTCTAGGATACCCCACCGCCGCTTAATCTGTTACAACTTTGTGCTGATATGCTTAATATGATGCATCAATATACTGTACGTTTTGGATGAAAACAGACACTCCCTGAAACCTAAAATCGACATTTAGCTATAACCTTTTGGGCTCAATACTGTCCATGTTATACGTAGAATTGCATCCCATTCATTACAAAGCTGTTTCTTTGAATTGTTTATGAATCAATAGTAAATTTGGTAACTTGTTTAAAACAGATAACTTAATACACACAATAATACTTAATAATATGTACAACATTCTTGCAAAGCAACATTCCTGATGAATGGTTGACACTGAGGGAACATTTATTTGCAACCCAAAGATGTCCTACATCCGGTCACGTGAGCTGATGTCCTTCGGTGTGTTTGTTTACGACTGCGTATATCAACGTGGACATTTAGATTTGCGTAGGTCGTGTGTCGCAGTGACGTATGTTCGTCATGAAGAATACACTATTGGGCTCGTAAGTAGGTCACGGCACGTCGCGGGACCTCAATACCTTTTCGAATGGTCTCATGGTTGACAGTTAGGAACCTTGTTATCTTTGTAGGAATAACAAATTTCCGTCTATCCATCTCCAAATTAGCCAACTATTACGACTGTCAAGAGCTGTGACAGCCAAGCATGGTTGTACACTTGGTCCGCTCTAGAAAAGTGTTAATTGGCGGTCGCGCAATTTGGAACCAGAACGGGTTAATGAATATACGCTTGTCACCAGCAATCTGGTACAAAAAGTAAGCTGGGTCCCATCTCGCATATCGCAAGTTGGCGCACGCAAAGGGAGCTGGGAACCAGCTTAGTACCGGAAGTAGCACCTCAAGAGATTTACAGACTGTATTACAGGGGAACCTGTGGTGTGGTCGTTTTTGGAGTGAGCGTCAGTGCCAGACCGACATGATTCTGTTTCCTTGTTGTCATCTTCTAGATGTTTCTGAAGTTGTAAACATTTAAG